CCCCAAATTTTGCTTGGGCCTTTTAATTGGGGGGGGGGGGGCTTTTTGGTTTGGGATTGCCAGGTGGCTGCTGTCTTGCGAGCGAGCACCCGAAGAGCCGGGCAGAGCCTCAGGGGCAAACGGCAGTGTTGCGCTGTCGCAGCAGTGCAACAAAGCTGCCATGAGGTGACCACGCTTATGAGCAGCCGCCCGGCAACACCACTTTCCAGCTGGGAAGAGCGCCACTCACCGACCCAGTAATATCCCAAAGGCGCTAAGCCGCGTGGCGCTCTGCCCGGTTGGAAAAAGAGGCTGCGTGAGCACTTGTTCTGCCTCCAGCTCACGTGCCTCCCTGCCTCACCATGCCCAACTCTCCCTGCAGGGCTGGGCCAGGGCGCTGCCACGGCCCCGCTGCCACTGCAGCCCCACAGCCACCACCGCTGCAACCCTGCTGCCGCCACCGCCATCACGGCCCCGCTGCTGTCGCCATCACCATGCTCTGAGTAAACTGGCTTCCAAACTTTGGAGGGCCGCTGCCAAGTCTTCCGGCAGCGCCTGTTCTGGGACTACGCTCTATTGTTGTGGGCTGGCTCGGCAGTGGATCTATGGTTGTGCGCTGGCTGCTGGAAGACTCTCTGTCCGGAAGACTGTCCAGCAGCCAGCCCACAACCATAGAGCGCACTTCTAGAGGGGCTGCTGCTGGAAGACTTTTGGAAGCCGAGTTTTGGAGTTTGGAAGCCGGAGAAGTTATGCTCGGAGTGCGGTGGGGGCGCACCAGGCTCTCGCGCAATCCCCCTCTCCAGCCGGGCAGAGCTCCATGCACTGACTTAGGAGGTATCCCTAATATGCCAAGCTTCCGGAGCTGGGGAGCGGGCAGAGCTCCACGTGCCTTGCACCTTAGGGATACCCCCTAGGTCAGTGAATGGCACTCTGCCCAGCTGGAGAGGGGGTTTGCCGGGCGGTTGCTCGTGAGCGTGGTCACATCATGGCTGCTTTGCCCCTGAGGCTTTACCCGGTTCTTCGGGAGCCAGTTCGCAAGGGAACAGCTGCCCAGCAGCCCCAAAACAATAAGCCCTCCCCCTATAATAAGCCCAAGGCCATGGGGGCAAAAGAAAATAAGACCCTTTCTTATTTTCGGGGAAACACAGTAGTATTACCATTTCAAATAAATGCTGTATGTAACAGTTATTATTGTTTTAAATAATTTTGTGTCTAAAGTTTAATTTGTTTTCAGCTGGAAGTAAGAAGAACTGATTATCAGCCACTAACGTCTGTTGAACAAAAGAATAATGTCACAATCATGGTCACACAGTTAAAAAATTCTTATCAGATACATGACTATAAAAACGAATTACATAGAAACAAAATTATTTAAAACAATA